ACAGAAACAGAAGTTCTAACCTAACTTGGCAATCTTGGCTACGCTAGCTTTGCAGAGATCCTGTATCGACTCCTGTAGCTCTTTCATGGTGGAGCGGATGGAAGCTACCATTGCCTCCTCCTGAATGACGTTAGACTCTCCTGTGGTACTTTTCTGATCCAGTGGCTCGGCAAGGAAAAAATTCTTGAGAGAGAAAAATACAAAAAAAAACAACCCTAAAACTTCAAATCCACCGTTAAAACTCATGTTCTGACAGAAGTGCATCATAATAATCTACCAGAAACATCACGCTTAACGCTAATTACCTTCAAGAAGCAAACGTTGTCCTGTATGTCGGCCAGACCACTCACTTCCTCACTTTTCCTTTGGAGCTGGGCCATTTCCTGTTGTAGTCCCTGGATCTGCCCCTCAACATCACTCCCCAAGACAGTCTCGTGGGAGCCAAGGAGCCCCACAACTTGGGTGCCTGTTAGAGCCAAGCTCTTACCCAGCTCAGAGAATAAATCTGAGCTCTCCTTCTCCATAGCCTGCACCTGTGCCTGATTTTATGAGGAGAACCCCGCCAGAAAAGCAACATTTTTAATTATATATCTGAAACAAACCTACAAGGGGGATTATTTGGAGAAAAAACTAAACAAAGTAAAATATTGAGAAAGAACTATTCAATAAGCATTGTCTACATACTCTGTGTTGTTGAGCAGCATGGGGGAGCTCTCTCAGCTTCCTTTCTGTTTCATAGATTCTTCTCTGGATTTCTGCCTGCATTTGAACAAGCTCCGTCTACACACACACACAAAATTGTTTAGCGAATGAAATTTCAAATAAGTTCAAGTTGATCTGTCATTTTTAAGCCGACAATCTTTCCGCAATACACGTCCTTTCCTTGTTTAACAAGTCCTTCAAGTTGAATCGAAGTCTGATTCAACCGTTCCTCATTTTTAGACACCTGATGAATAGGTCAGTTACGTACCTGTCTTGCTTTTCTTTCTTGTTGTGCGATTACCACACGGTGTCCCCTGTGTCCATGTTGGGAACACACTTCACACACACACTCTTTGTCTTCATGGCAGAAAAGATTCAGGGGTTGGTTGTGCTGAGGGCACGCTCTGGGCTCCACTGAGGGAAGCTGCGGGTAAACACTGCCCTTTCTCGGCCCTATGTGAGGAAGGACTTCCAAATAGATAGGCATCGACGGTGGGGCCGATGAGGCCGCTGTGGAGGCGCTTTTCTTGAGGCTGTTGGTTCTTAGCTTCTCCACAGCGTCTGCGAGCACTGTGCTCTTTGCCAGAGAGGGCCGAGGGTTGAAGACATGTCTACACTGAGGGCAGCTGTACTGACCCTTGGCGCTTCCTTTGTCCCAGTGGCGTTGGATGCACACCAAGCAGTACGAGTGCCCACATGGAAGAGTGGTAGGGTCTTTCAGGGTATCCAGACATACTGAACAGGCAAAGCTGTCATCCTCTGGCCAAGCTGAAGCCATCTGGTGCGCAGAAAAAAGGTTGATTTCTTTGAAGGCCCCACTTGAATTTATGGATTTAATATTGTGGATTCAATGTTCAGCCTGAAAAAAAGATGAACGCAAAGACACCCGAGGTTCGTAAAGGTTGAAGTGCCACCTCACACCAATCACTTGTTGCTCAAATACCCAAGCTGACAACGTTTGGAGGTGGGGCAGGTAAAACAGGTGTGGTGAGGTGTAGCCTCTCCCTTCATGTGATTGGATTTTTCCAGTTTACAAAATACTTTCTTGTTGAGATCTTGCAATGATGCCAACTTTGAAGTAACTTTTAGTCTGTCATTCCAGCCAGACACCCACTGTTAACGTAACCGTTTCACAATCAAGTCGAAGATGTTTGACATACCTTTAGTTATTTATTTTTACAAGGAAGTTGTTATGAGTCATCCTCAAAAAACGAAAAAAGGACCAAGACAACTTAAACCAGATAAACGAGTTTTTCCCCTCTGGAAAACCCATGATGCAATAAACTGGGGATTTTTTACCGCAGTTATTAAATCCCCAAATAACGCGAGCATTTGGTCGCAACCACGCCTTTGCTTTATTTATAGAAACAAAAATAAGATAAAGGTGAAAAATATTACTCAAGCGCCTTGCACGCACGCACGCGCGTGAGGCTACACTGCCTCATATTGATAAGTGGCTGCCGGCTTGCTGGGCGACAGGAGTAGCCATTGCCAAGCCACCTCTTAATGTGAGTGTTTTCTGCCTTTAAAGATAACTTGTTTCAATGGCGAGTTATCTGGTTGGTTCTCTCATTTCTTGTCGGAGACTTCGGTTGTTTGCCATCAGCGGGTAGCAGCCGTAAGCTTTGATTTATGAATGACATTAGCATGCTAGCTATCTGTTGTGCTAATTTCTCGCTAGCTTGGCAACCTCGCGTGCACATTTAAACGGAGCAGAACTTGCTCTGGAACAATGGATCTTGAATATTACTCAACCAGCATTTGTCCGTGAAGTGACAGTGTCATTTATACCTAGTTTGTAAAAGTACTTTTAGAAAGTATGGATTCCTAAGTTCACGAGTAGGGAACTTGGCTACTAGCCAACTTTAGCTAACTAGTTGGGGTTGGGCACCGATGTTTTTGCGCTTGGATTGATAACAGTTTTGAGTAACAAATGATCGGAAAGTTTGAGTGTCAAAAGCAGGACTGTTCAGTTAGGTTTTACTCTGTTATGTTAGTTTTTTTTTTACTCTTTCAGATGTGGGCAGATTCCCATTCCTCTGACAGGGTGGGCTGCATATTTATCGGGAATTATGGTTCACGCCGTCATAGAGTGTTTGTGTTTCTTTTTATAGGATGTTCAGGGCCCCACATACCCTGACCTGGGCTTGCCCCTTAAGATCTCTGCTGCTGTCAAGAGAATCTCACCTGTCTGCTGTCTTTGAGCACAATGGTCCTGGATGGCAAGGAACAAGACGACTAAAAGACAGCAAATGTGAACAAATAAGTTGGAAGGGCAACAGCAGGGACAGATCGTTGTTGCCCGCAAAGACTGCTAACCACTGGCCACGATTGTCTTCTTTTGGCTTTAACTGCGATCAGCTAAGAGATGCTCTCCCGGAAAAGCTCTTATCCAAAGGTATTTTAGTGAACCACCCTCAGGTCTGTGCGAAAACCAAACTAGCATCTAACTTTTTAAGCGCTGTGTGGCACAGTTTAATCTACAGGACTTTCCAGCTGTGCTGGCGGATGCCTTTGGATTTTAGCCAGCCTCACCTCAGCTACATCAGTAAAGTTCCACATAACCTTCTCCAAAGTTATCCACATCGCAGACGGCACTCGATTAGTCCCTATGGTTTATCATCACATAAGCTTTGGACTTTAAACGAGTTTGCCGGTAAACTGCTACGCCTAAGTCGGTCTTTTCACCAAGCCAGAGGGTTCCATCAGGCCGCCCCACGTGTAGCAGACACTTGGAGAGACTGCCTATCCCCGGAGAACGAAAACAGGTGTCGTCAGAGCCTGCGAGCTAACTGGAAGCTCTATGAGATGGACAAGGTGAGGAAAGGGGCAAGTCAGACAAAGGGAAAGAACCAGGGGAGGTGGGCCTCCATCCTGGTCTGTCTCTGCACTGTTGAAGGGGAGCCGGCTTTTCTCTTTACTCTGCGCTCCAGCACACTGAAGGGCAGGCATAAAGGAGATGTCAGGTTAGAGGGACCCTGGAAACCAAATACAATGTTATTTTTCCTTTTTTTTTTTTTTAGTTTCTTATATTCCATGCTTCATTTTCTCCCATTTATTTATTTTTCTTAGCTTTGCTGGAGGTAAGGGCGACCCGTCGGACAGAGATGTGGTAGCCACGGCGCTGCGAGAAGCCCGGGAGGAGCTGGGTGTTCATGTTGCAAACGAGAAGGTTTGGGGCGTCATGAAGCCTCTCAGGGACACGGTGAGTTGGACTGTTATTTATTTATTTATTTTTTAAACAGTTTTTTCTTTTCCTTTGGCTGTTTTGAGGCTGTTGATATTTGATGACATATGAAATCTCTTTAGTGGATTTTATCTTTCTTTGTCATTTTATTTTTTTTAATTGTTTTAATAATTAATTTATCTGTGAACTTAATAGTATGTAGTAAAAGAGAGAAAACTCATTTCTGCTTCGGAAACTTGAAAAGAGTTTATTTGCTAGATATTTTTGGTCTTAGTCTGTTGTCTTATTATAAGTCCAAACATCCATATATTTTGAAAGTTATTTTAAAATTATTATCAGAAAGAAGCAGTTGGACTTTCAATATGACTTACAAAATGTGCTCAGTGATGCTATTTCTCTTATTCTGACCCTGTACATATGCTGTGTGTCTCCAGTCAGGAATGCTTATCGCTCCTGTGCTTACTAACGTCGGACCGCTTGAGGATTTGACCTTCAAACCAAATCCTGAGGAGGTACAGCCGTCCTCTATTTTGTCTCCGTTAGCACTGCTAAGACACGTTTCGACTTAAAGGAATAAATAGCTTTAGAATAAAAAAGAGGGTTTGTTCCAAACTTTTGAACTGTTTTCTCTATTTGGTCTTTTTCAATGCAGAGCAAAACCACTGAAAACTTTTTTTTTTCTTCTTCTTCTTCTTTCCTTCCCAGGTAGAGGAGATCTTCACCTTGTCCTTGTCCCACCTTTACAACCCTCTGAACCGTGGCTACACACACTTCCGCACTGGCGACAAGTATGGATACACACTGCCAGTGTTTCGGAATGGGAAACACAGAGTGTGGGGCCTGACTGCAGTCGCTCTGGACCAAACCCTGAAACTAATTTTACCACCAGAGTAGCTCATTCGTCCCCCTTTGGAGGTAACTTGAGCGTTACTATGAGACGGGCACGCTGGCTTTGTGTAGCAAAATCATGTGGGAGACCAGCTAAAACAAAATCTCCTGTCAAATTATTCATTGGATTTGAAGGAAGTATAGAGGTCAATATTTAAAAGAAAAGAAGAAAAACCCTGTGTGATCACACACATATATGTGTGTGTGTATGTGCGTGTTTTTTAAAAATGTTTTCATTACAAATCCCTTAATTTCTTTTCAGTCACATGATTTTCTTTGCATCCTGTGTGTTTTTACTCCAGATCAAACACAAACTGTTGGTAACACTGAAGTTACAGATGCACATTGTTATGATGGAGTGTGTGTGCCTGTGTGCATGGAAGAAAAACGCAATAAAAGTTATTTTAGTTACTTTTTCAGAGTTTGGCGTTCTTATTGTTACAAGAACATTTGCAGCTAAAGTAAAAGTAAGGTAGAGAAAGAGAAAGGGAATGAGGTCACAAAAGGGCTTCGACAAACAGAAGCCTTAACTTCTCTGCGTGGGTAAAACAATTCAGTCTCTATCTGAAACTGTAAATTCATGCTTGAGAAATCTGCCCATCTTCCTGGATTTAAAATGGTACAAATTGATTAAAAAATGAAGATTTCCTGGTTCAGAAACTTGGATGAGGTGGGTTTTCTGTCAGTAAGAGCTGGCCAGTAACTTTATTGCATTGCTGCCAAGTTTCAAGGCTGCGAGCACTCCATGGGGTTTAGGGAGTCTGGCAGAAGGTGGCAGTTGAAGGGCCAGCTGAAGGAGAAGAGATCCAGGGCCTGGCTGCACTGCTGCTCGGCGGAGGAGCAGACCGAGCGGCACGGCTGGAGGACTCCGCCCTGAGGGCTGCACTGGGGGAGGAACATCCCGCACACCAACCTCTGCAGGGGCTTGAAACACGCCAGCTCCATCAGCACCTGAGGAAGAATACCCAGAAAAAAGGAGAGAGCGTGAAGGTAGATGTCTCGGAAAGACTTTTTAGGGCAGGGATGGGAAACGCTGGGCCTCGAGGGGCTGCCATTGACAGGTTTCCATGCTTCAACACACTCATTTTCTGTCAAAGTTGTTCTCCAAAGATTAAGCTCTGCGCAGATGTGCTGATGTTGGGTTGACTGAAACGGGCAAGCCTCTAAAATCTGCAAGACAGCAGCCCTGGGTTGCCCACCCCTGTTCTAGATGGATGAATAAGGCTCCTACCCGATACTGTCGCAGGAGTGCGGCAGCTTCTCTCTGGTCGGCGATGGAGAGCCAGATGTTGGGGAATGAGGTGAGGTTATAGCTGAGGCCCTGACACATCTCCACTTCGATAAATTCACACGATGAGGCTGTTTGGGGAGGGGGAGCAGATCATTAATCACTTAAACAAGTAACACGCCTACACGTCATCATCATATACTCGCTGTGTCTTTTATCTCCACTTCAACACCTCATCTCCAGGTTTCTATTCTTATTTTTTTTAGTGCCCCTTGATGTCGGGACCCAATTCTGCCGAGGTCGACAATAACGCAGACTCACTGAAGGGAGGATAGGTGGAGTTGCCACAGGCGTGCTCATCCGCGCCGTCGGGACAGTCATTCCACCCGTCGCACAGCCACTGTTGCTGAAGGCATTCTCCCGTCTTGCAGGCAAACTGGTTTGGGCCACACGTCCCTTTAATTCAATAGAGGATTTAAGCACACGGGACAGATTCACAGAAACAATACGTGCTGGTATGGCAGTGTGCTATCTGGGCTGATATGATCTATGACCCACTTTGTATTGCTAATCGCACGTCCGGGCCATGTTATCGGAACAGACCGTTGCAGGTTAATGATTATATATATATATAAATTCTGGCGCTGGAACATTTCGCTAACACAAAAAACCGTACTGTCTTGTAGAGAAACAGCTTGGTAAGTTGCATTGAAGCCACTGTCGGCCACTCCCTCATCAGCGACAAACACCACTGTCATGTTCGGCCCAGAGGAGGTCAGGTCCGGTGGGAATGTGGCACCACAAAACCTGCCGGGGGGGGGGAGTGTGTAAAGCATTAGTAAATTAGTAATAGTGTTATAATAATCACATACAAGAGGGAAGCTATTTATCCTTACATATGCCTCAAAAGGCTGAAGCCCAACAACAGAGAGGATTGAAAGTGTGCTGAAAGTGAAACGGTGACAGGCCTCACCTCCCCAAAACGCTCCCGGCTCCGACGTCTGCGCCGTCGTGCACCTCCACGTAGTCGAACTCGCACACATCCTGAGTTTCCAGGCTGAAATTTTTGAAGCTCAGCGTGACGACTTGGCCGTCGTCGACGGATATGTGCCAGACACACAGCTTAAGAGAATAAGAAAAAGTTCATAACTTGTGTTGCCACTGCCACTATTGAATGTTGTGCATTTCTGACCTCAGTGTACCTGTTGGTGAGGATAAGGCCTCGGGTGGTTTGGACTTTCAAGGTAGCCATTGGGCCCAAACTTCTGGCCACCACATTCTGCGATCACCCAAGTTACACTCGTTATACTCTTATGTTTTATTATTTTTTTAATTACAAATTCAAAGTCGGGTTCTGGATTTGGCTCGTTCTCTCTGACCCTTGTGTTTGTGGCTGCAGTTTGCTTCGTCGGTTTGGTCGTGGCAGTTTGGCCGACCGTCGCACACCAACACGGGCAGCAAACAGCGCCCACCGTCGCACATGAACTCTTCTCCGGAACAGCTCCCTGAGGAGATGCACAACAGACCCTCGCATGTTGGGAAGCAAATGGGAATGGGCGTGGGGGGTGACATTTTTTTTTACAGGCGGAATACCGACTGTGTCCAGGCAGTGTGGCTTTGTACTGTGCCACAAAGCCGTTGCCTGCGATGCTGCCGTCAGAGCGGAAGGTGACCCACACTGTGCTACTGTTTGTGTTGACCGTGGGCGGTGCAACGTTGCCGCAGAACCTGCAGGAAAAAATAGCATTTGTGTCACTTTCTTGAAATCTTCCTTTCCTTTTAACCTATAACGGCTTTTGACAGAACCTCTGTCTAACATTCCTGCTGTAATCCAAAAGTGGGAGTTATGTGTTTCGCAAGAAATCAACAAAACGGTGAACATAAAACTTTCCAAGAAGGTATCAGTGTGCACAAGAGTGGATACATGGAACTTAAGCGCCATCTACCTGAATTTAAAATTCATTTCAGACATTTTCTTGACTTTTCTATGTTTATGTGTTTATGTTTATGCATTTGGCAGACGCTTTTATCCAAAGCGACTTACAGAGTAGACACAATATTACATTTATCATCACTATGACAATAAGCTATACAAAGGAGAAACACTGATCAGTCAGTGGTGACAGCAAGAGATAGAGGTAGAGGGGACTATAGAAGGAGTTGTGGGGGGGATAGAGGTACGGGTTAGGATTAGGATAGGACATTAAAGGAAAAGGGTTTTTTCTTTTTTGTCTTCCCTGGCTGGGACCCGACCAACCTGGTGATCACAGCCCTCTGCTCAATCTGCTCCTGCACCTCCAGCCAGTCGAACAGACACGGTGACGGCCCCTCTATTGTCAAAGAGGTGACATGTATTTGGACCAAGTAAGGGGGCGGGAGCCGGATCACCCACACGCACAGCGAGTTGGGGGGGTAGGAAAAAGGGTGGTTTGGGGAACTGAAACTGCCCTCCGTGTCAGTCATAACCCCTCCACATCCTAAGAGGCAGAAAGACAAGATTTAAAATCTGAAGTAGACTAAATCAAACATGGCGAGAAAGCGGCATTTCTGATGGGTGACAGCCACACTTGTTTCGGGTGGGGGGATGTTTGTGGAATACGGTGTGGCCACGCTGTGTAGTCCTCTTCTGTTGGTAGGGACTGTTGGAAAAGCTTTGGATGGTTCAGTTCCTGAACTCTGCCGGCTGGGGGTGTTTGTGGGCAACAGCTGATTCTTCATGTCCTGGCCTTTAATCTCTAAAAAGGAAATAAAGAATTATTGGAAATTAAGACAACAACCCCCTCTTTTTCTAAATGACTGTAAATCCCCCAGTAAATTTACTGTAAATAGTTTTGCAATCATCAAAACATGTCCTTTTTCTCACTTTTTTGCACGATGTAATTGTACTGTTGGCACTGTTAGAGCATCATTTATAAAATAATGTAATCTTTTAAATAATAGGAATATTTGTTGGCTTTGGGGTGAAAAGCCCCAATTTATTGGAAACTAAGACAACAACCCCCTCTTTTTCTAAATGACTGTAAATGCACAGTAAATTGACTGTAAATAGCTTTGCAATCATCAAAACATGTCCTCCTTTTTTCACTTTTTTGCACGATGTAATTCTACTGTGGGCACTGTTAGAGCATCATTTATAAAATAATCTGATCTTTTCAATAATGGGAGTAATTGTTGGCTTTGGGGTGAAAAGGTTGCGGTGGATCAGGGACTCACGTATGATGATGAGGGCCAGGGCCAGTGCAACGGCTGCTAGCAGAAGCAGGACAGCAGCAGAGACCACCACCAGCCCCCATCCACCTGGACACCGGAGACGCATCAAATGCAACCTCAAAAGACCACGACCCAGGCCTGAACCAGAGACAAAAGCAAACATCCGTGCCAACTCACAGGCATAAGCCAGGAATATCACAAAATGCTTGTTTTCCTGGTTCCCTCCGGGTACCCCGGATTCCTCCCGCCATCCAAAAACCTGCACGTTAGGTCAGTAGCACATTCCAAATTCCCTCTATGAGTGAATGTGAGGGTGTGAGGTTGTTTGTCTCTGTGTGGCCCTGTGATGGACTGGCGCCAGGGTGTACCCCGCCTCTCGCCTGTTGTCTGCTGGGATGGGCTCAGGCCCCCCCACGACTCCATTGGAAATATGCGGTATAGAAAATGGATGGATTGATGACTTGCTTTCATTAATCTACTCTGTAAGTCGCTTTGGATAAAAGCGTCTGCCAAATGCATAAACATAAACATTAATGGTGGATGGTATTTCATGTGTTAAAAGCTTATCCATCCCACTGTGTTAGCAGAGTCTCTTTCGAGTTAGACTGAATCAAATAAAGTCATTGTGGTATGGAAACCATATTGAGAATTGTGTTTGGATTAAAATTTAGGTAAAATCAAACATATTATCCTCATATATATATGAATTTGTTTTATCGCTTATGCCGGGAAATGAGGAGGTGACTCACTTGCTGCTGGTGGCTTGACTGGTTCAGGGGTGGAGGAAGATGTCCGGAATCCCTCCACCCTATCCTCCCTCTCTCCCTCCAACTCAAAAGCAGGGTTGCAGAACACATTCTGTGGAAAGCAGAAGAGTTAAAAAAAGAAAAAGGGAGAAAACTGGAAATGAAAATAAATGAGTTCTCAATTCAATTAAAATTATATTTCTAAGTAGTATGTTGTAACTTTTTGAACGAGAAAGATGTTTGTTCCTTTTTCGATTGAAAGTTAAGGCAGCTTTATTAGCTGCCTAATAACCAGTATTAGCTTCCTATCAATCCATTGAATCAGTATCTCAAGACATTTAAGCCAAAACTGTTTAAGAACCAAAAATAATATACTCTGTGATCAATTTTAAAGTCAATGTTTATGTAGCTTTAATGTTATATTGTTGTGTTATTGTATTACATAAAATAATTTTCCTATCCCATGATACTACCTCTAAAAGGAAAAGAGCATGTCGATTTTAATCTATTTGTCTATGTTCATGAACAAAATACCTGAAGGTTTTTATTTCATACAGCCAATTTATTTCACATAGTTTTTAATAATGTCAAAAGAATTGTTGTTGATGAAGAGAATAAATGCTCTCATCACACATATTCGTGAAACGTGCATATATGAATTAGAATGGTAACATAGAAGCATTGAAGTTCATATATCGTTTCATCATATCTATGATTTATATCTATCCTCCATTGACAAATGTTTTTAAGTAAAGAGAAGCCTCAAGTTAAAGTAGATTCTGTGGCAAGTGCATTTATATTGCAAGGTCAATGGGAAATAAGGGCTGCAGTTTACTAAACACTGAGAAAATAGTACATAAAAACAACAATAGAAGGTTTCATGGCTCAAGGGAACCTCCCTTTGTTCAAATATTTAATTCATTCTGCTGATGACGCCAATATATCCAATTATTTTAGCAAAAAGCTCACAAAAAGTGCACTGTTGATTATGCGAATACTATTAAGTACATTTCTCCTTGTGATACAATCAAAGATGTGATTCTCTGTTAAGCTTTTGTTGACACTGTGCGTGTTAATCTTAAGAGGCATTTTTAGTGGATTTTAAAACTTTTTTATATTTGAATGATCTGTATGATCAAACAAACAAAGCAAGCATGGTTGGGAATCTGATTTGAAAGTAACAAAAGTAAAAATAAAATAAAAAGCCAGAGGAAAAGGAATTATTGCTCAAGACCACTTTAGGGCCCATAGACCAAGGACTTCCTTCTTGGACGCTAAATATAAAGAAATGGGGTGGAGTAAGACTTTTGTATGTGTCTTTTGTCACTGCACAGCACATCATTCTACTCAGCCAGAGCCCTTGATTATCATCAATTGAATCAAGGGATGAACTAGTTCACAATGGTTTGTTTTCATTCTGTACATCGCATATAGCCCAGAGCACCATGACTGACCACAGGCATCTGGTGTAATCCAATATCAAATTAGCTTCTTTGTTTAATGGGATATAATGAATGGTGACGTTGTAATTGTAATTGTTCCTGTAAAGTAAATATTAGAAAATAAAATACATGTAAATATCTTTTATTTATTGATGTTTTATTTTAGTTGCAAAATGAAATACAAACCTGATGAAAGTGGGTTCTATTTTAAAGATCAACTAACAGAAACAATCTGCCATTACATGTTGCACAGATAAATTTAGAAGAGGAGGGGACATGTAAAATGAAAAATGTAAAATCAAGGTGTGAATAAATTATTTATCGCCAACAGATGCCTTATCTAGCTTTAAATACTCAAACATAAATGACTACATTTACAGTTTGCACTTGCTGAAAAAGCAATCGATTGTTTTCTGGTTTGAAATACAAGTTTTAAACCGCATAAAAGATTGAGCCTTGCAAGACACTAACTGTAGAAAAGTATCTAATCATTGGTGCCTACTTTTTTCCCAGCTTTTTTGCTTATTGTTTCTCTGTCAGTAGAAAAAGATTACAACATTAGAAAAGCTAAAGATGATGCACCTTCACAGTTTCCTCTCCTGAAGAGACTTCATCTGCTTTGAGATATAATTTTCAGCCAATTCTTTGGCTTGTATTGCTAACGACAACAAAAGTCTGGATTTGAACCATTTTGGCCATCCTGGCATGTCTCCTGAGATCTAATGCATTTGAAAAAGTTCTTTCTTGGAAATATTTGTATATTGGTCTTCATCCAAAGGAGATAATTTTGTTGTAAACTGTCCTGCTTACCTTATAAATGTCCGAGGAGTCTGAGTATACTGCAACTTGGCTCAGATCAGACATCTTCAGTCTCCTTGGGGAAGAAGAGGGACTTTGGTAAAGAGCTCACCTCTCAAACGGATGAAAACACCTGGGAGGATATCATGAAGAGAACTATTTATCTGCAAGGGTGCTTGAAAAAGGTTCTCCTGACCTTTCCTTTCATTGTTCATTTTGCACAGACTGTAAACCTCCGCTGTAGCTGCGAAAGCCTTTGGCCTTCACTCCTCCAGCACTTCCCACTCTTTTTGCCGCACATCCAACAACATAATCCACATGCAAAAAAAAAAGGAGTCAGAAAACAGTACAATTCCCAGCTAAGGAGTCAGTGTCCAGTCATCGAAGTATCTCCGTTTGTCCCTTTGTCTTGTTCAAAAGACCTATATTTCTCTTGGGTCTTTTTGAATTTTTTTGCGTGTGACCGCTTACAAAGGAGTTTTAGAAGCCCCCTCACAATACTGGGAAAAGCTGAGTCAGCTGAGAGGACTGATCCTCAGAGGAGGGACAGAGTAAGGGTAAGGGCTTGAGGTGCAGGTTGGGGTCTGTGTTAAGTCTCTGTAATCCCCATAATTACCTTTTAAGCCCACAAAATGTTTAAATGAAACACACTTTCGTGCCCAAGCCAGGGTGTGTTTGTGTTTGTTGCACAAACACACTGAAAATGAACCCTGACAACAACACACGAGCAGAAACTAAACAGAACCTTGACACAGTTAGAGCAATAAGGTCTCGGTTTAATAGTGTCACCCTGATTTTGCATGTTGATGTCAGGTCTGGGGTTCAGTGCACACCAGCAATGAGACATTTTATGAGAAAATCATTTTCAGATCTGAAGTTGCAAAGCTGACTTTTTGCTATTTGCTGAAATAAAGCGCTAGAAAGTGGTCGAACCACTTTTACCTGCCCCTGAAGATACAAAGCTTCACACAGTCAGGGAGCTGAGAAAAGAGGAAGAGTCATCAAAAATGAAAGTTAAAAAAAGAGCCCCGTGTTCTCTCCAAAATTGCACAATCTCTCTCTCTCCCTATCTCGTTCTCTCCCTCTCTCCCTGTTTGGTGCTGTTGTGTTATTGGGTAATCATTAATCAAATAAACCAGCTGGCAGCAGAATAATTCAGATACTCTAGTTGTGTTTCCTGTAACATTAACACAAAAAATCAGCTGCTGCTGTGTCTGACCATGCGTGTCAGATCTTCCCTGTGGATACTACTGTCCATCTCCATCCAGTGTGGTATGAGTTTAATTTTAAAGTCTAACATGAGTGTGTTTTGTTGTAATGTGCATCAGTTGTTTGTGTGTTCGTGCAGAAATGCTTAGCAACAGTACTTTTACCCTTTGCGCTCAGTGTCTCCGCAGGACTACGACGATGATTATGGAGAGGCTGCATACGAAGATTTACAGCCACAGAACTGCTCCACTGCGGAGAAAATCAAAGGCGGAGATGTCACTTATTCACAAGTAAATCAACAGAAAAATACTAATAAACAGCATCAGACTGAAGCTTCCAATTTTGGTACATTAAATAGTATTTTTAGTAATAGTAATATATAATTTTCATTCAGCTGTCTCTGTAAACATTGTGTTGTGATTATGAAGTGACATGTATGAACATTTTCAGCTGAAAAACCTCATAAATCACGAAGCTAACTGTGGAGATTGATGTTAATCTACAGCCAAAAAAAAAGTAACTGGAAGGCAAATTTAATGTTAGCATCAATTTACAGGACAGCTTCATGATACTTAATTTAGAGCCAAAAACTACGTATTTTTTCTTCCCCAGGGCGGTTTGGAGGGCAGCGTGCTGACTTATCACTGTGCCCTGGGGAGCTACCCATTCCCCGTCAGCTACAGGGTGTGTGGTGCTGATGGAGAGTGGTCACCCATGAGGTTATCCAGCGGCAGACGTGTGTCCAGTGCCACCTGCAAAGGTTTTTTTGGTTTTTTTTGCAAACAGCTGCACGGTCCACAGTTATCATATAATTCATTTGCCAGTCTCCTCCGTCCTGAGTGTAATTCTGTCTTACAGACATGTTGTGTCCGGCTCAGCTCCAACTGGATAATGGCGACATCTGGCCCAGGGATCAGTGGTTGCCCATTGGGAGTATGCAGAGCTTTTCCTGCCTGGAAGGGTTCACCCTATCCGGGTCAGAACACAGAAACTGCACTGTATCTGCAGAGTGGACAGGAACCCCTCCAGTCTGTGATGATCATGGTCAGAAAACAATACAAATTTTGCTCATTGATGCATGTGACATTCATATTTTACCAATTTAATATCAGACCCTATTTATTTACAAAGGGAGCTGCTCCCATGTTGGTTTATTTAGGCTGTCATATCTCCTCAGTCACTTTTTACTATTGTATATACCTTTCAGCGGATGACTGTGATGACCCCGGGATCCCTCCCGGTGGGGAAAGGATATCTGGTCACTTTCATCTGGGAGAAAAGGTGACTTACACATGTCAGGCTGGGCTGCATCTGCTTGGTTCAGCTGAAAGGGTTTGCCTGGCCAACAGGGAGTGGAGTGGCTCAGCACCACGTTGCCAAGGTGACTAAAGTCATAATATAATCTAGTTTAGCTATCAACCAAGAAGCCTTTCTTTTCATAACAAAATACAGTAATCAAAACGACTCATCGGAAAAGGGAATTGTTCCACAATTTACATGATTTGGGGCTTTTCTCGTAGGCCCACTTACCTTTGACTCCCCCAGCTCTGTGGCTGCAGCCTTGGCAGGATCCCTCGCAGGAGTGATGGATGTCCTCTCTCCTGAGGCCAAAAAGAAAAGTAGGTTCACAACATGACATTCTGTGTACACCAGTTATTGAAAATAAATAAAAAAATATCCGACTCAGCTTTGCTGTGTTTTTGCTTGTGTTTGCACGCCAGAAGAGGGCCCTTCCTTTGGACGAGCATTTCTCGTGGGTGAAGTCGGCCGTATGAATGTCTACATTTTATTGGACACATCTGGGAGCATTAAAAAGGAAGACTTTGAAATTTCCAGGACTGCCACCGTTGCCCTGATCAGGAAGGTCTGAATAGATGCAGAACCAAAAAAGATTTCCTCCCTTTGACTTTTATCTGTCCGTCTGTAAAACTCCAATGTCTCCTTCATTGTTTCTCTAGCTGGACAGTTATGAGGTACAGATTAATTTCCACGTGGTGTCGTTTGCCAGCGAGGTCAAAGTCATCATGGACATCACAAACACATATATGAGTGGTAACGTGGAAGATGTCATTGATGCTCTGATGGAGTTCGACTACAACAGTAGGACTTGGCTCGACTTTTCCTCCTCCTAAATAATCTTTTTTTTTTTAATTCTCTGGGGCTAATTCTGCATTACATTGACCCTAGTCGGTGCATTTCATCACAATCGTGACACTTTGATGGATCAAACTTATAATAGCAGATAAAGAGTTCTTCTTGATGTTGTCTGTTGTGTGTGTTCGTCTGCAGGCCACGGACGTAAGACAGGCACCAACCTGCACTCTGCACTGATCAATGTTGGCGAAAAGATGAGTTTCTTAAAGCAAAACAGCGCAAAGAACCATTTTAATGAGACCCAGCACATAATCATCATAGAAACAGATGGTAAAAATTCAAAAGGAGTCAGAAACCCCTGCTCCAAACAAGCTGTTCTGGATGAGTAGCATGGCAATGCATTTTTCTTCTGTGGTAATTCCCCCCTTATATCATCTTCTTTCCTTAAGGTTACTCCAACACAGGTGGAGATCCTCGGACTGCTCTGGCCAAGATCCGACACATACTGAATTGCAGCACGTCACTAGAAGATCACACAAATGAGAGAATGCTAGGTATCTTGGTCAAAACAACACCTGGAAGTAAATGCCCAGTGCAAATGTAGTGGTGTTCACCAGATGGCGCATTTGGTTTAGATGTCTATGTATTCGGCATTGGGGACAAAGTGAAGAAAGGTGAATTGAACCATCTGGCCTCAAAGAAAAGTAAGGAGCAGCATTTCTTCATCCTGAAAGACTTCAAGACTCTGGGAGAGGTGTTCAACAGCATCATTAGTGAGTAGCGACCATTGCCCAACTCAGGAGACTTTATGTATTCCAAATTTCTTTTTCCAGAAAGTTATGTATTAACAGACCTCTCTCGTCTTTCCAAGTAGGAGAACTTGGCCCAATGTTAAGTAAAGCATAACCGTTCTTTAATAAAACAGGTGACCAGAGCGTAACGATGTGCGGGATAGCTCAGGAGGACATCTCCAAGGAACATGAGGAGGATTCAGGAAAAGCGCACACCATGCCCTGGCACGTTACTCTGCAATCAGTAAGAACTTTCGCCTGCTGTCTATCAAAGCATTTTGAGAATTTAAAGTGCGTCGTTGTCACATGTAAATTCTGTTTGCCCCAACAGTCGGGGCACACAAAGTTCTGTTCTGGAACAATCATAAGCCCAAACTGGGTGCTGACGGCAGCTCACTGCTTTTCCAAAGTGACCACAATCGAGCAGCTGAGCATGAACACTGGTCAGTATAAAAAATATGTTGAAGATACAACACAACAAAAGGGGAAATACATTTACCAATATGAGTTAAATGGGTCCCAGTTCGGTTTTCATTAAAAAAAAAATTAAAAAAGATCCCTGACCTTATTTCTCATACTCAATGTTGTCCTTTTGTACCAAGGTGATGGACTAGTGAAGGCCAACAAGGCGATCATACACCCCAATTACAACGTCAGCGCACTCAGACACAGAAACGTGTCTGAGTTCTATGACTACGATGTGGCTCTGGTACACATACCCAGCAACATCAAACTGTCCTGGAAAGCCAGGTGAGGTCAGGCCACAGAACCAAGCTTGTAAAGCTCACTACGAGCTTAGTTTGGTGCATCCTTTGCGCTTTTTGATCATACGGGGGTACATGTGGCAGCCGTTTCTACGTTGTAAAGCTTTGAAAACAAATTGTTCGAATGATATTGTGCCTTTATTGATTGTCCACTAGACCAATCTGCTTACCATGTACTATACCGGCCTCACGAGCCATGAGGAAAATCAACTCTACCTGTGAGGAGCATAGTATGTGATCTTTAACCTCTCATTAAAACATGAAACCATACACTTTTTATTTAAAAAAAAACAGAAACCGGTCAGGTAAATTGGAGTCATGGGGTAACATTTCTGTGCGCACAGGGAAGGAGCTATTACATCACATGCAGACTCCTGCGTTTTTCATCCACAAGAGTAACATGCGTGCACAGACACATATCCAAATCCAGGCTAAGGTGAGGCCCGTTTTTATGTCTGCCGTCTTTTAGGTTTTTAAATATGCACACAGTATGTGGTGTCTGTTTGCAGAGGCCTGGCTGTGTGGAGAAGGCCCGGCATACGCTGAAAGAACCCACGAATGTGACTTTGGATGAATACGTACCCGACAGATTCCTCTGCACTGGGGGCACCGAAGGGTACCAAGACGCTGTCAGCTGCAAAGGTTCGATGTCTGGGGGTAACTGCCATGATGCTCTGAACTTTGTGGGTTTCACATACCAATCGCGCTTCTCTTTATTCGCAGGGGACTCCGGCGGATCCTTGTTTTTGCAGAAAAGAAAGCGCTTTTTTCAGGTTTGTTATTTATTGACGAGAACCCGATCATGAACTGGGCTGCAACGGTTTCCTGCTTTGCCTTTTTAGGTGGGAGTCGTGAGCTGGGGCTCCGTGAATGTATGTGACCAGTCCAACCCAGCTAACAGGCAAAACAGAGGCCGAAGACCTGATGAGAACGCTCGAGACTTCCACATTGACCTCTTCAAGATCATGCCTTGGTTGAAGAAACATCTGGGTCAGGATATCCAGTTCTTGCCTGACATCAAGTGAGAAGGTCCACAATCAGACTTGCAGACTTGAAACTGAAAGCTTAATTTAGCTTCCCCTTGCTTCTTTGATGTTCAACCAATAACTAATTTGATCTTTGGGCTGATACTGATTAATTGTATTCATCAAATATCAAACACATCTTCAATACCAAAACGTTTGTATCAAAGCATCAGTAGCTACATAGCTTATATTTTGTGTGCTTTATTGTAATTCTGTTTTGAAATAGTTTTTTGCAGTACAGTTGCAAAGAGTTAAACACAATCAAGCAGAAAATAAATGATTGTTTTTCATATTTCTACCAAACTCGCCTGTGTTCAATGTGTGTGGACGGTTAAAAGAAAACAAGCTTAAGTGTTTTTTGTAATACTGATACAATATAGAACTTGCCTATCTTCAAGCTTAGCTCGCCTTACTGAACCACAGCCCAGCAGCTAATGTTATCTGACCGTTAGTGGCCGAAAAGAGATTTAGATGTGTTCTTTTTTTGCGAGTCAGCCCTCTGAGAACTGTCTGAACAGAGTTTCAGACTCGCTGTCTTTAAAGTCTGGAACAAAGTGGATGTGGAGGATCTCGGAGAATCCCTCGGAAAGAGCGGGAGCCAAAAAATTTTTCCTGTTTGGAGACATGGAGATGGATCACAGCAGTCAGGAAACAATTGGAAAAACATTTTCTGTGAAACACTCTAAAAAACTATTTAATTGCAATTGCATTGCACTATTTAAGTATCAAAGAGATAAAGGATTAAAAAGACACAGTTTCTAATTGTTAGCTTTTTGAAAAAAATCAAGCAAACATGTTTACATGATAGAACTATGAATAATGGCCATTTTCACTCACTTGTAGCTGTAGAAAATCATGTCATTGACTTTGGCATGTTTGCTTTCCGATGGCACCATCTCACGGAACTGGGGACATCAACAATAAATAAAAAATGTTAAAACATTTTTTCTAAAAACACTCCTCACCAGTATAAAACTCAGGCACTGGTGAAAACGGGGTCATGTGCAGAGTCGTACCCTGTTGTTGTGCTTGGCTTGCTCCAGAGAAGCCGAGAAGAGGAAGCAGCGACAGGACACCCCCGCTGCATTAGCCACGTCCACGTAACTGCAAAATGCACACGTTTTCTCAGTTTTATTTTTAAAAGTACGAAGTGCTGTGCTTAACATATGTATTGGACCACCTGAAGAGAAAAACAAGAAAGTAGATTAAATGTACTTTTTTTATTCCGTTTCACGCTAAAACTAAATTAAACTAAAAACTAGATAAAACAACAAACTCCTAACCCTTTTCCATACTTAATAATCTGGAAACGAAATGCTTTATATTGTCTCCTTTGGCTTTGATTACAGCTTCCATTCTTACTTTGATCACCTTCACTTTCACCTTTTGACAGTTTCTCTTGTTACTAAGCCCCAAGTAGTCTAGCTGTTTCCAAAAACTTGCTTTGGATTAAACTTCTGGGTGATCAGTCTCTCAATTTACTAAATCCTACGTGAACTGTGACTCGGCTCCTGCATCAGCTCCAGGTTTTTTTTAATTAATACTGTTCTCTGTAAATAGACCCCAAAGCATATTGAGTATAACAAAGAGGTTTAATTAAGACTATTTCAATTCCAGCGAGCTCACAGTGTTTTGACATTTTGGAACTAAGGATTTTAAACCGAATTCCTCCCTTTACAGCCAAATTTCAGCCCTCTCACTGAGCTTCTCTGACAAGTCATAAATGCATCAAGCAGAACATTCAAACACTAAAACATGCAATAAGGATGACATCTTGATCGGACATCTCAATCAAAAAATAAGAATGTACTGAAATATTTTTGGAAAACCGTATATTTGGAAATGCACACATACAGGTGTATTAACCATTACAGAATCAAATAATTATTTTGGTAACTACTGATGCTGTTCATTTAGGGCTGCTGGGGCATAAAGCTTACACTGAGTGCTAGTATAATATATTTATTACGCACTAAATTCCCTGAAATCTGCAGTAGATCTCTCTGAATTGGGCTGATGGCTGTACATTTTTTGCTTTGAAGTATGACTGCTTGTCAGCCAGGTTTAAATCCAGAGTTTTCCACGTTAACAGAGAGAGCAGCAGCTTTGAAACATGAAGAGAAGGTGTGTGTGTCCTCCGAGTTTCCCTGGCATCGCTCCTCCAAGGGATTAAGCCACACGATTTTCCCCGAGAAGCAGCCACAAGTAAGGGCGGCTGTTCTTAAAAAAACAATATTAGTAACACCAAAACTTTCAAGTTGGTCACTATGACAAGGGGATAAAAGCAGGCCGAGCTCAATGTGTTGCTGAGGAACAGATGGAAGGTGAGGTTTTTCCTCCACTTTGATCACAACCTGGCTTAAAACCAAAGACTGAATATTACTCGAGCCTGTCAAGTGCATGAAGTAATCCGTCTCACTGAGACCGTTTAAAAAAATGTTTTTTTAAAGTAAACATACACGCCCTGCCGGTAAATATACTCAGCTCTTATGAAGCATATGTATGTAGAGGGCGTTTCCGGCAGGGTGGAGCAAAATGGATCCGAGTGTTGTGAATGATGACGGCCAGCGTGAACACACAAAGCGGGCGCGGTGAGGTTAGGCCTACCGTTTGCGGGACTCTGGGTCTGGGTTGGTGTTGTCCACGGCGACGCTGCGGCCCTCCCTCAGAGCGCGCTCGCACGCCGACACGCAGTTCTGCCAGGAGCCGAGTGTGTCCTGAAACAAAAGAGAGGTGGAGCCCGCTGATATCCTGTAGCAATCGGCACATCGGACCGAATGCTCTGGGGCGTTCCTGTTCCCGGTGACGGAGGCGTTGGTTTTTAAAAATGACCTCACCCTGTTAACGTAGACGTAGCCCTTTGGGATGATATGGGTGTGGAAAAAGGTGGATTTACCGGCTGTAGAGAACAAGAAGAGAGCTTAAGACCAGAAAGGTTTTGATGAGAGGGGAGATCAGAGGGGTTAACTTATGGCTTCTCCTACATGCAGGGTAACCCACGGCAACAACGACTTCTGTCTTAGAGGAGGTGAGAGAGGCAGACGGTGGGTCGTACAGCCTGGCACTGGAGACAAGCTTCCTCTATTAAATTCAGATAAAGAATACTTTCAACAGAGTATAGACACAGAACACAATTGTACTTCCGTATTTTACAGACCGAAGTTTCTTAACCCTGGTCCTAGATGTCAAACTGTCAAGATATCTATGTAGGAGGACTATTATGCTAGCTTCACGCACTATGACTGCGGCTCATCCTGGAACTTCAAACATAACTATGGCAGAACTCATCTAATTCGCTCCTTATTGAACATCAAGAATTCAACAATTTAACTTGTAACACATCTTGAGTATTAGAGGACTTAGTGATTAGTCCTTAGTGATTAGACTTAGTGATTCAATTGAGGAGATGATCCCTTAATTTGAATTACACGGACTGGAAGCCAGGGAAAAACTGTGGTGATAGCCTGAAAAAAAAAGAAAGAAAGAGATGTCACTCCACTCACAGGGTCAAATTCAGGGAGGCTGTAGGGGGCGCTCTTCCAGCCCAAAAAGTACTCCTCTGGGGTATGAAACTGCAGCCCAAGGTTTAGAGCAAACTGCAACGCAAAACAGGAGGAAAGGTCTGTTCTTTGTTCAAGTCCTGGTTATAACATGCTTATGAATACTGTGGCTTTTACCAGTCGGTCACTGCAAGAGAAATCTTTCTTTTTCTTTCCAGGAGCCCAGTTTGGTGGCCTTCCTGCAGCATCTATACACACAGGTTTATGAGCAACACTGTATTAAAGTGAAAGAATTGCCTGCATCTTGCACGGACTGCTCAGGATTTTTTTTTTGTAGTGAAAAGCAGTTATAACTGAAAGTTCAGTGTAAAGTTTAAATTACATATGTATACGAATGACTCATATGACAGTCTCATGGCATTAAGAGGTATTAAATGCATCAAAACTCATCATCACTTACCTCCTACATAAAAACTCTGACTCTTATCAACGGTCACATCATCATTTGCCTGTTCAGGAGACAAACACATCAGGTGAAAGAGTCACGTCTGAAGGCGGGGTGTGTGTGTGCCCATGGATTTCTTTTTACCTTTTCACAAAGGTGATTCCACATTCCCGTCACCGGTTTCCTGTAAATACCAGGGCCGGTGGCTACAAACACCTGTAACACAAACACGTTGGGGATCCAAACGCTGCTTTACACCCAGGGTCTAAATAGATTAAGGGAGTCAGACGGCACTACATGACCAACCTGTACGGGCAGCTTCAGCGTGGCGAGGATGTCCTCCACTTTAGACTTGAAAACCTCCGGTATCAGTTTGCCTCTGGCGATGCCCAGCTGGTTGGTGAAGAACACCACCTGCAGAGGGAGTGGCATTTCAGGCAAACACTACGAAATGAGGCAAAATTTCAAGTTCACTGGCTTCACATTACAAAGCATTTAATAAAAGGAACTAAAATAGATCTGAACTTCACAGTCAATCTGAAATACATCAGTGAGAATGCGAAAATCGTTCTAATTCTGTTGAAGCTTGGCTTTATTTAGGACATAAGCCACTTTGATAAGTGCACGTTTTTGTTAGCTGAATGCCTTAAAGAAAAATGGATGTGAGCAAGAACTGACTTAGTCATCATGCAACTTTCTAAATTGGAAAGATCAAAACTAGAATAATGATAAAAACTAAAACTCAGCAAATAAGGGAGTTTAATGAACTATATTGAAATTGAAGAGAAAAAAGCAGCTGAAGGAGTCAGACACCCCCAAAATTGCACTGCAGCCCACCATGCTCCTTCCCACCTTGTATCCTTTTTTGAGCAAGCTGGCCAGTCTTGGCTGAATCTCAGGAAACAGGATCCTGGTAAAGAAACAAGGATATTTCAAGAAAACCGTGCACCTAAGAAAGAGATGTCATGAATCGCCGTAAAGAGACCAAAAAAGGTCTACGCTGTCAAATCATTAATAGCAGGAGGTTTACAAGGGCATGCTCACCTCCAGTCGTCTGGGCCAGTGGGAAAGACTTTGCCAGATTTGGTGGTGATGATGCAGCCATCAATATCAAAGCCAGCGATCTAGTGGCAGAGAGGCTTCACATAAGTCCAAAATCTCAAAAAAACATATTAAGTCCAATGAAAAAATGTACTTATACATGATAAATTCACCAAAATCCAAAGTGATTCTGTCTAACAAATAACTTTATACATATTAGGTAAGCAATGGGGTTTAGAGTCATTGCTCAGTTACTTGTTTTGCTTTAATGAAAATAATGACAGACAACCTAGATTTACTGTTAATTCTACTATATAAACTTGGAATAAACCATGTATTTCACATAAAAGTGGTGAACTTGAAGGCCAGTAACTAAAGGACAGCGTGTTATTCTATCAACAAAATGGTCCCATCGCATGTCAAAGAAAATCTTCATTAGCTGCTCATTTCAAACAGTTCCCACCTTGTTACTTGCTTTGACACCCACAGAGGTATGACACATCAAGTTGCTGATCTGCTGCCAGCTGCTCTTCGTGCACGCTTTGGTCAGGGATGGAGAGGAGGATGGTTGGATTACTTTGCTTTCCTCCACCAGAGCATTTCTAGCAAACTCCTGCAGTTTCTGTAGTTTTTCCTCGACCAGTTTTTCTTCATCCTCCTCCTCGTTCATTCCTTCATCTAAAATCTCCTGATCTGTCCTTTGTCGCTTCACGTCAGGATGGCCCCGCTCTGGGCTCAGCTTCCTTTTAGATGACTGAACAGAAAAATAACAAGAACTCAGGCTCTCGACTTTGCCGAGCATGTGAAAGACGGTCGTTGGCTCAACATAGTAAATGTTTTAGCGCTGTAACCTAACAGCTCTGCATGCTTTACCTTTGCGGGAGAGACGGGAAAGAAATCCTTTATGCTGCGTTTGGGTGTCGGGCTCGCCTGAGCCTCTTTTTCTTTCCCGCATTTCCTTGACTTTGTCTTATCTGTGACTTTCATACCTCTGTTTGCCATGCTGGAGGTTGTTCCGTTGGGGCTTGGCGAGAAGCTGAGTGTAAATGGATGACATTGATTGACCAGGTACAGAGTACCTCCATGTGCGAGTTTACCAGACTTGTTGCGGCCCAGCTTCTCGTCATCTAGGAAACTGGGATTAGGACCCAGCTGTTGAGGAAAAAATATCAAACATGGACTTTGGACAGTAGCATATGAGCTGAGAGACAACTAGGGGTGAGTCCACAAGTAAACAACACAGGTATGCTGACATCAGCCTTTTAGACAAAATAAACTGATTAAATGCTCTTTGTTCAGAGTCTAAACTGCAGAATCTGGTAATGGAAACTGCCATTTCTCTTAGGAGCTGATTATACTGCAGAGCTGGGCTTAAATATTTGTTTTCTTACCTGAGTAACAACCACATTCTGGTCAGCATAGCAAGCAACAACTTTGACTGCAGGAGAGATGCAAAGAGAGAAAAAGAAACACTATTTGAGTCTGTGTGAAACATCAACTTCTACTTTTGCTCCCTCTTTAAAAATACGTGCAAACAGAAAAACATCTGGCTGTGTATTTTTTCAGTTAATCAAATCAAAAAACTATTTTATGTATTAATTAAGTCTATACAGTTCAACAAAAAATACAATCACGCAATCAACAAAAATAAAACACTAAAATTAAACAGTATTTATAGCGTTAGTCTCTGCGAACAGATAACAAAGAGGCCTTTTCGGGTATCTCTCCACAGAATGGTATTGATAGTTTTTTTTTCAGCCAGCTCTGATAGGACTGAAAGAGCCCCAACATCTTAAAGTGTGTAAGATTAGGGTCTGTAGGTGAAGCTGGCTCACTAGGTAGCAACAACCCTTCAGTTAAACTTCGCCTCACCTTGGTGCCTCGAGCATTTCTTGTCGACCACTCCGGTGTCCGGACCTCGCCCAAGAATCACAGCTCGTCCATCTTGCAGAGCAATCCGGGCTCCAGACTTGCCCACCAGCGTGCACGGCATTGGATTTGTAGCTTTGAACGCAGTTTGAGAACTCTTCTCGCAAGATTGGCCGTGTAAGCTTAGTAACGATGTAAAATTTCCGAGCGTTTTGAACCTCTAACGCGTAGCCAATACAACTCACTTTCAGAGGTTGTTATATTGTGATTATTGTTTTAAAATATTCATACAAGACCAACAACATGGTTCAGATACTGGTCACTCAATGAACAGAGGGAGCACTCAGTACGGCGTAATTTGGGTGCATCGCAAAAATATGTTCTACTAGATACGTGATTCCCTTCAAGGTTCCGCATATTGTCGAACTTTAAAGGTCTGCAGTTTTAAATGCAATTATTTTTACGAACAGCAATTATTTTATATATTTTATATATATATTTGACTTTTACACGAAAATTACAACAAGGAATTAATGTTTATCTGGAAGGAGTTTGCGTTTAGACATTTTGGTGAGTCACTCGCATCTGTCTGGGTGTTCCCACCCAGTCAGTTGTCAGTATTCATCCGTAAAGGTAGGTAACAAAATACTTTTTGAATTATTTTAAATTTTATCGGAAGCACCCTTTATTAACTATTGATGTATACAACTTGTAAGTAATTACTGGCAGCCAGTAATATTTAAAAGTTGTTGGGTACTAGAAGCAAAGAGAAAGTGATAGAAGCTACCGGTGATCGTAATGTTTGAGTTTTGCTCGACGGTAACGTGATACAATGTAACCGTATCGAAATAACAATCTAGACATGGATTTAAAAATTAGGATAAAGTTCTATCCTATAACAGTAAGATTGCGTAATTCAAACGATCAAAAACTCATTCTTGTTATGTATCCACAGCATCCACAACTAAGCCGACATGACTGGCAGGTTCTTAGGGCTTCAAGTCAGGGTGTACCATCTTTTTCCCTTAGAATATTAGTCACAGACTGAGAATGTTGGCATACAGGTTTAACTTTCCATATAGACATTGGTGTGTCCTCCCTGATGTCCCTCCTTTAATTATCCTTATACCTCATATTCTCACCTCATTCCCACCCTAATTTACATTCTCTCTTCTGTCCTGCCAGGCAGTTTGTCTTTGTCAATCTCTTGTCTGGGAAATTGTCGTGAAGCAGCCAAACAACCAGTAAGAAATTTGAGTTTAAATTTAATTTGAATTGTGCTTTTCAGTTGTTGTTTGTTATCAGTGCAACTTTTTTTTTTATTGTGTCTGCTTTTCCCTCTTTCTGCAGGACAGGTGGACACTGACTGATTCTTTTCAACCTGACCTCACACAACATGTCGAACCAGACAGTTCAAAACCACCATGAGGGGGCTTACATGTCAATAATGAGAGGCCTGCGGGAGCTGGACCTCCGTGGTCCCTGCGTTCCCAGTGACCTGGTTCTGATCGGAGACCACTCCTTTCCTTTAGCAATGAACAGTCGGGGGCAGGTTCTGATGGCTGCCTCTCTGTATGCTTGCGGGAGAATTGTTGTCCTGGGTCATGAGGGGTACCTGACAGCTTTTCCAGCGCTGGTAGAGAACGCTCTGACCTGGCTGAGGGGCGAAGGATCCGATAACCCCTCTGTAGGGGTGCACAAAAGTGTAAAGGCGGTCGCTGAAAACCTCAGCAGATCCCACTTCCAGACAGTAGTGGCCGAGGCCTTTAGCACCATGCTGGGAGTTGGTGTGTATGTGACAGACGCGTACAGTGTGGGTGATGACCCAAGAGACCTGGTGGCATTTCTGAAAGCAGGGGGAGGGGTGCTGATTGCGGGGCAGGCATGGAGCTGGGCTGCAGAGCACCCAAAGGAGAACACCTTGCACCTGTTCAAAGGAAATAGGGTGTCTGGCGTTACAGGGATCTATTTTTCTGAGCATCCTGGTGAGGTGGAGGCCCTACCTGTCTACCCACAGATCCCATCCTCCTGGATGTCCATAGTGTAAGTGAACACTTGATTTTTACATGCAGAATAGTTACAACTCTGCTACTTAAAGATAAAAAGCTAATTCACGAGATAATGAATTATTGTGATGCTTTGTTTTACACATACAATAATGCATGCATAACAAATTATATGACTTTTGGGGGAAGAAATGTGAGAAATGGAATTCATAAAAGTGACATATTCTTTCTTCCCTTGTTGTTGTCTTCCTTTTTCTAAAACAGAATTGGTAAAGATTTTGAGGATGACTTGGAGTTCCTACTCCAGGGGGTGTCAGAGTTTACAATCCCCAATGGGCTTTTAGCCTCTGAGGTTTTGGTCCATGGCCAACTAGCCTTCCCAATCGGGACGGCAGACAGTGGACGGGCATTCTTGGCAGGAGCCTACTATGGGCAGGGCCGAGTCATTGTGGTGACACATGAAGGACTCCTCCAGAATGAGGTACAGTGAGATTTCAATACCGGGGTTTAAGTTTAAATTGAAGAATTTTGTTCATTGGTATAATTAACAAGTGCTCTGAAACTTTGTGGTGATTATTTGATAATTCCTTGCAAAAACAACTCTTGTCGCAGGCGATGGCTCCATTCTGGAACAATGCTATTCACTGGTTGGATGAAGGCCGCCGGGGGGTTGTTGGCGGGGTGCTCGATCATGCCCTTCAAAATCTCAGCAAGGCAGGCCTGAAGTGTGAGAAAACAGGCTTCAGAAAAGACCTGAGCGTGTTTGTGTGCACAGCGTACAGTGGCGACCACGTGGAAGAAATCCAAAACTTTGTTGCTGAGGGTGGAGGCCTCCTGATTGGCGGACATGCTTGGTACTGGGCACAGACGCACTGTGGGCAAAACCCATTGACCGATTTCTCAGGTATGCCACTGTTAATGTAAGATAATGAACAATAAAACAAAGAAAAAAGTAGCATTCTCAAAGGAGGAATGAAAAAAAAAACTTTTTTTTCATTGATAAGCCCAGGTCATTAAACAGTGACTAGTAAACTACAGAACTTACACAACTAAAGCAAGTTTGTCCATTAATTTACTCTGAAACCTTGAAAGGGGTACAGATAAGCATTGCTCTGAGGACACCAAGAGTTAAGGAGAGGTACTGCAAGATACAAAGCCTCTAACTTTTATGTGATAAACCCACATTTGATCAAATGTCACAATATCTTTCAGGGAACAAAATCCTGAACAAAATGGGCTTGAGCCTGTTGGGAGCAACAATACCATCAGGAACATACAAAACTCCCACTCCCAGCCAGGCCATAAAAGACAACTACCACTTCCGCCACCTTCTACACCGTTTCGCAAGCCATGTGACAGCAGGGGAACAACTCAGCAAACGTGAGGAGGAGCATCTGAAAAAGCTGGGCAACGACTGTGCCACCTACCTGAAAATGAATGCGCATGACTGCTGCTTCTACAACCAGGTGGTGTCCACACTCACAGACATCTTGAAGAGGTCGGGAATGCCACAGGTGAGCAAGACAGAAGGAAAAGACAGTAAAGTCTACCAATAACATCAGCACCAATAACTATTGCACTTCTACTCTTCATTTGTGTCATTATTGTTGTCAAGGTGAGTGACAGCTGCCCTGTCAACACTCCCAAAGACCACCTCCTTCTCAATGTGGGGACAGAGGTGTATAAGGTTTGCCCCAACCCAGACGCACTCCTGCCCTACCTCATCCAGCATAACCCGCTGCTGCCAGTTGTCTACAACCAAAGGATCAAGATTAACGCGGAAACAGCGAGTGAGAGTTTCAGCTCATTTGTACATACTTGGTGATAGTCTTGCGCGCTGAAGAATTTATTTGTTTCAAACGGCAAAAGAATACATCGCAAATGACACCAACTAACATTTGTGTTTGTCTGTATGTGTGTCAGAAGGAGAAGAGTGGATCAGTACTGGTCTTTACCTCTCTCCTGGTATGAAGACCTTTGTGGCCATACCGACAGGAATAGTCAACAAGGGATGGCAGGTAAAAAAAAAGAAAAAAATCAATTAGTTATTAGTTCTGGAGATGTCTGATGATGTAGTACCCCTCAGTGCATGTAGGCCACAACAGTAATTACCAGCCAAAGCTCCGGCCTATTTTCTGATTGTGAGCCATAGATCCATAAAGGTATAACTAAAGGAAAAGAAATATGATTTAAGGGCCTTAACCCTTTGTGCAATTACACTTAAAGTTAACTTCAAAACAGTCTGTAGGAGCAAATAAATACAATGCATCCTCAGGGGAAATATCCTCAGCTGATATTATGGACAAAAACCTAGAGACTCTAAGCAACATTCACCTTAGTGTCCACAAATACTGATTATTGATCATTCACATTTCTACAATAATCCTTTTTTTTTTCAAACCAGCAAAAAATAAAGAATCGTTGATTCTCTTCAGTCACAGCAATTTCAATAGGCATTTAAAAAATACAGTCTAATTCAACAGAGTCCAATCAACTGAAATTCAATGATAAGTTAATAAATTCAAGTTCTAAATGACAAAAGCTATGTGCTGAATCTAGAAGGAAGTTGAAATAAGAGACACAGTCATTTTATTTTTGTATGATAATATACTATTGAAGACAGGAATCATCAATCACATATGCAAAACAATGACCATATGTTTTAATTGCACTTGGGAGTCCCCTAAAGGTCCAGATGGTCTGTTTGCTTCTACCTTGGACCAGCTCTGACCGGGATACAAATCAGCAACCCAACATTTCCTCCACAGATTCAGATTGGCTGCCAAACGGATCAGCTGAACGCCGCGGAGCTGAAGCGGGCGCCACGCGTGCACGAGCGATTCCCCGCCACCTCAGAGATGGTGCAGGTGTGGAACCTGTGGGGCGGACTCATCTACCTGGTGGCCCCACCCACAACAAAAGCAGAGGGCTTGGAAGTGGTAGTGCAGATGGCTGTGCCTGCACCCTACTACAAATCGGGTGAGTGTTCGGTGAATGGATCGTAGTGGGTTGTGTTCACTGAGGGCTTTTCGTGGCTCCTTGTGGAGGATTTAGAGCAGTGTGTGCTCTTCTCTAAACTTATCGTAGAATTTGCTGACCTGTCACACACATAGTGGAGCCTAAAGAGGTTATACTGTGACATTGATATTGTAAGTGATGTGTTGCTGCGAAGTTCTTATTTTCGATTAATACCTTCATTTATTTGTTCTTTGCAGGGGTGACAACGGCATCCGATTGGTCGCTGGTGCGCACAGCTCCCTCTCCCTGGGCAGAGTTGGAGTTTGACAACATCATCCTCACCGTACCCTCAGATGCGGTGCGGAACCTGGACGGCCCCGATGAGCTGGCGGCCCACTGGAACAACATCATGCGGGCCATTGCTGACCTGGCTGTCATACCGCACAAGTTTCCACGCAAAGAACGTTTTGTGGCAGACGTGCAGATTTCCCACGGTAAGTGCGTCCAGCTTCTGATAAATGCTCACCAATTTGCAAATAACTTTACTTAAACTATATATATGTATGTAGAGGAGTAAGTGTGAGTGTCCAACCCTATTTTGAATAAGTGAGCAAACAAAATGGATGGAATATTAATTAGCATTTATAGTCACAGTAAGTTATTGGGATACATTTTCTGATTTTAATTTTTTTTGCCTAAGTTCATTGTTTCGTTAACCATCACTTCAGTTCATTGAGGTTCGGGAATTAGTTTTTCTTTCAACCAGGTTTTTAGCTTTCTACAGTTTTTGATGGTGGGTAGGTAAAATTGTTGGGATGTCCACTCTTGAGAAGCTTGTCAACTGTCGTGAATATTTTCCCTTCTTGAAAATGTTCAAACTAAAGAATGATGGCTGTAGAAGCAATTTTTTTGTATTTACATTAGTGTGAAGCTAAAATATGTGTGTTTTGTCTACCATCTGTCTACCATCTGTGTCTTCCAAGGTTTAGCCTTCAACAACAGCCAACTACCGGGAAAAACCTTATAAGGGCATAACAGAAATTGACCTTGGGTGTCCAATAGCTTCATATCCCATAATATGTGCACTGCTTAGCAACTATCAGTTTAATAAAAATCAACTGCTAGAGGAATTTCGGTGTGAGTTTCCATGAGTGGCGGCGAGAACCATCTCGTCTCCTCTCAGGCTCTCCCTCCTGTGCAGACGAGAAAAACTTATCCTCTGTGTCAAGCCTTTTTATTCTGATGCCTTTTCCTGGGTCTGTCGATTAATAACTAAACTCTTGATAGTGAGGAACTAGGAGTCGTATTTAGACCCAACAATGGCCTATTTGGAAATGGCCATAGTTACCTTTTTAGATTGATGGGAAGCAACAACAGCTCCTCTAAGGTCTTTGCTGATGTCTTTTCTGCTTGAAATGATGTTCACTCACACTTGAATGCTTCAGACCAGCAATCTATGTGTACTACTATTATAACTACTATAACTACTATTTTGTTTTATTTCCAAAACACTTTAAAAGCAGTGTATAGTACAGTAGAGTACATTAACTTCCTGAGTCCCCCTTAAATTAACCATCTTTCACTGTCCTGTCTCCTTCTCAGGGTTTAGATTTATTTTCCCCCAACGTTTTTGCACAGTAGACATTTTCTGTATGTACCAGCTGAATGAAGAATCAGAAGGATTTAAAAAATGCCCATCTACCCTAGGATTAGTTGCATTATGTGTCTCTTTCACAGCTTTTTATTAATTTAAATGTATCTCACAGAGTTTTTTGTTTTTTCATTCAGGCTGGATGCATGCAGGCTATCCTATCATGGCACACAAGTCCACAGCAACTGAGCTGGTCAGTGTTGAACATGCAAGGACTAATGGCCTGTGGGGCCCCATCCATGAGCTTGGACACAACCAGCAAAGAGGCTGCTGGGAGTTTCCATCACACACAACAGAGTGCACATGCAACCTGTGGTCAGTGTATGTTCATGAGGAGGTGTTTGGGATCAACAGGGCAAAGGTAGAGCATCTCTCTTGGTTAAAACCACTGACTAAAAGATCAGTCTTAGCTCGTATTATGAAGTGTTCATCCACAGGTCATAGTGTAGAACATGTTTTGCTTCCTGCTAGGAACACATTAAGCACAATTTAAATATATTCAATTGTTTGTCAACAAAGGCTCATCCAGCCATGACTCTGGACAATCGAAACAGTCGAGCAAAGCAGTATGCCCAGGGGGACAGGAATCTCAGCGGCTGGGACATGTGGGTTGCCTTGGAGACGTACATGCAGGTGAGACATCACGGAGAGACTGTGTGTGGATGTGTAAAACATGCCTATAATCATAAATAAAGTACAAAGGCTTTTAGTGGCAATTTAAGGTTTTCATTGTCATTATGACCCCTTCCTGTGCCTCTTAGCTCCAGGAAAAGTTTGGCTGGGATGCCTTCAAGAAGGTGTTTGCTGCCTATCACGAGATGAGCAACTTCCCCGGTGACAACAAAGGAAAGATGAACCTGTATGCTGAGACGTTCTCTCAATCAGTGGGGATGAACCTGACCGGATTCTTTAAGGCCTGGGGGTGGCCCATAGAAACAGCCACCGAGCAGAAGCTCTCCAACCTGCCTCCCTGGAGTGATCACCCCATGGTCCAGTACAACTGAACCTCAGACTTCTGTAGATTAAAGGCCTCAGACTTTGTCACAATAAGCTTTTCCTTTGCATGATCTTTATTTTGGGACATTTTGTTAAACTATGCAAAACTACTTTATCTCTCTCTTTCTGTTGTTGTTTTTTTACCATATTGAATAGATTTTTTGTGCTGTGTTTTGCCAACACAACACACATTTAAAACTATATAATACTAAATATTGCATGTGTTTATTTCTGTAAAAGAACAATGATGAATCATGGAAATGCTTACACTAAAATCTTAGGCAGTACATTTCTTTCTTCTTATAATTATGTATCCTCTTAAAGATGAAGGTTGCTGATGTTTTATGCACTTTATCCATGCCTGATGCAATGGGGTTGCATTTTGTTTCACTGCAATAAGAAAAGTAATTCCCAAGATGAAGTGAAGCGTCTTCTCTTTCTAGGTCATAATTGCAAACATGCTCTACGGGCTACTCTGTAGAAAAGATGTGGGTATTAGACAAACTACAATGTCAAGGGCTATAACTATTCCATATAAATATTTGCAAAGAACAAGAAACTATAATGCTTTATTCGTAATAGTTCTCTTTATTTCATGTGTTTCACACTGAGAAAATAAATCACATTTACAAAGAGATCATACATTATTGGCACACAGTTACATGACAAATTGGATGGTCTCTGTTTTATTCCTAAGGTTTTACTTATTAGGAAATAATATGAGACTACTCTTAAACATTTTACTTTAGCAAAAAATCAAGAGATGTCATATCAAGCCTCTTTAAAAACAACGTTATATCAAAACCAAATAGACTTAAACTCATTTGAATGTAATCCAGGTTAAATCAGTTTGCATAAATCCAGTCCTTAAATACAAATTCTTAGGCAGCCACTTCCAGGAAAAGCTGACTGGTTCAGGAATACAGACATAGTTTATGTATGAACAACTTTCATAATGTGTCCTTAATGTCATGGACGGTGCAGAATGAAGGACCCAAAATAGAGATAAGCCAGCTGACTTCCAGGAGACATTAAAAGAAAAACAAAAAATACAACATGAACCAAATTCCTCAAAATGAGCCAGCACTTATCTTTGAGCATAACATGTTTTTATGCTTTGTGAATAGCATGGCCTCGCAATATTGCCAACTCTTACGTAATATTTGATCAAACTGGTGGGCCAAGTCAACATTGGTTTAAAAACCAACCACAAAGGTGTTACTTATCAATCATAAAACCCCATGTGGTAAAGAGGTTTGCTGTGTGAAACCTGATGTGAACTTCCAAAGGGCTTAATTTAAGAGGAACCTTTTTTGGCAAAGGTGGCAAGAGACAACACCTTTGTAACAGGTAGAAACATTGAAAGGAAATGAGTGAGCCCCTCAATAAGAGGCTTTGGTGATCTGTTTTTTATCCAAAATACAGGAAGACATACTGGTCTGCCTCTGTGTTCATTATGTGTGATTTGGATTAAATAAACACTGGGACAGAATCAGCTATCCTTTCCAGGGATATTTAAAAGGGACTGCATCCTTCCATGAATTTTTGTATTTTTTTGTTGTTGGAAGAGACGATCTTCCATTTCTGGTGTGGCCTGTACCTGAACACAGACAGGGAAAGTAGAAGGACCATATTAAGATTTTTATAATCTGTTTGACCTCACGGCAGCGGGTGCCTCTCTGCTGTTGTCTTACCCGTCTTTGGTAGAAGAGGACGTAGCGGGTTCTCTGACACCACTTTCTAACAACAGTCCTGCTGGTGTCCTAAAAAAAAGAAAGTCCAAGATAATGGGAACTTTTGAACTGTTGACCTTTACGGAAAATTTTCTCAAGTATTCTGTTGTTTCAAGTGCTGGAGGTGGTCTTAAGCACACAAAGTCTTTGTACAGTGCAAATCATGATTTGGGTAAGTGATTTGAATACTGTAACTGTGGAAAATAAAGGGGCAATATATACATCTCCACTAGGGAGCGTAATGTTATCTGTAGTGAATGTTAAGTAAATAAGCATTGTGTATTTCAGTGATATAACTGTATTGCGTTAGTTAGTGGAAATAAACCTTTACCGTGTTCAATAAAGAAGGCTCCTGTCAGTTACCAAAAATACATTCTTAATGTGCAAACTCCTCAGAAGTTGACCTACCGTTATTTACTGTGGAGCCAAAATGACCATCAGCTCAGCACAGATGATCCAAAGGTCTCAAGTAAACTTTAACCTCTTCGGGTGCACGGAATCAGGTCCAGTGAAAGACTGCTGAAGTCTTCCACTGTGATGGACTGAGCACCACATCTGAACATTAAACGAACAATATACAAAAAGATGCATGTGAAGTGAAATTCCGTAGTCTTCAACACACACAAATTACACTTGATCCAAAGATTTTAAACTTTCCAAGTATTAAGCAGCTGACTTACTTTGCAACCTGGGCCCTTAAACTCGGCAGCCTGGACAGACAGGACCCTCCTGAACCTCATGAGGGCCAGAGGTTTGCAAAAAGCATCTTCTGATAAACTCACAATTTCCAGGAATATCTAGAGAGGATCAATGAAAAAAAGACGGAGATTAGTGTTTCATTTGGTTCTCAAACATTAAGAATATTCTTGTATGTATTTGTGCGACTGAGGGTTGTACCTGGCCAGCTCAGCCTCTGGACACTGCCTCAACACGTTCTCCTGGGAGCTGACATCACGTACAACCTCTTTGAGAGTCAGCAGACTCAGGAGGCTGGAGTTCATGTTGCACCTCTGGGCCGGGTTTGGAAACCTGTGACTAAAGCATAACAATGAGCATCGCATATTAGCATCCAATCGAAAACAAGTAAATGTTTTTAATTTTATTTACTGCTGCATGCGATTTGGATGCATATCTATTGTCAGAAAAGAGACAAACATTTATCAGCCTTATTACTTTGTGTGTTTGTGTTTTAAGATGTCCTCACCCGTGAGCATGTATTATGCTGTATACATGTTGATTAATTTTCAAATGTATTTTCAAAAACAGATATTTTTGTTGACTTTCATAAGTTTTCTATACTGTAATGATAATTGGTTATAGACTCCTAGAGGGCAAGCCTGAATGAAATGGGACGTTTGTTAATAGTTCCTGAATTTAGTAACAAATTAAGCTGATAAATGTAGGACATGACAAGAAATTGCACATTAGGTCTGGGTAAAAAAAATGAAGCTGCTGGTCTGCCTCTAAGTTAATCAACATTAGTAGTAAAGAAAAAAAATACAGAATCAGGATTCCTAACCCATCTTCATGGACACTTACTGGAACCTCTTTGTGTCCTAGTTGTTTATTTCTAGGAAGTCAGCAGAAGTAAAATCCCCCCCCCTCCCGGTTTGGCTTACTTATAAACACAGACAGGAAATGTCCCTCAGCTCAACCATTAAAACATGTAAGGATTTCTAAAAATCTGTTAAATCTTGAGAGGCAGAGAGGCAGCGGGTGCCTCTCTGCTGTTGTCTTACCTGTCTCTGGTAGAAGAGGACGTAGCAGGTTCTCTGACGCCACTTTCTAACGACAGTCCTGCTGGTTTCAAAGACGTCCTTGTCATCATAGTGGAGCCATCGTTCGGGTCTGCCATCCAGGACCTCATCGGGGTGCAGTCCCTCACTCACGTAGTGTCCTGAAAGAAAGTCCAAGTTAATGGGAACTTGGGAACTGTTAACCTTTTACTGAAAACATTATCAAATACAAAGTTGTTTTAATTGCTGGTCTTAAGTACGCAAAGTCTTTGAACAGTGCAGTTCACGATGAACATTTATCATTTTGACACATTACTAATGTTCAAACTCCTCAGAAGTTGACTTACCATCATTTACTGTGGAGCCGAAATGGTTGATGACACTAATTAGGCTGTATAGGCCTTCATCCTGAGTGGAATCACAGACCACTGTTAGCTTCACACACACATACTCACACACACACAGTTTCCAGTTGTGTGATTTTTAATTGTACCTGTACAGAGTTCACCATCAGCTCATCACAGATGTTGATGGGATCTCGCAGCTTCAGTATCTTCAGGTCTTTAGTGAACTTGAACCTCTTCAGGTGTAACATCAGGTATCTGTTTCCAGAAAAGAGGACAGCACTTTTTGTAGATTTGACAGACTTTTAATTGATGAATAAACAGATTAACATTAAGGCAGATAAGAATAAATATCTCAGTTTTCTGACTGGATCTGCTGCAGCAAGCACATCTAACAAGCCCAGACTTTGAAGAAGAAATATAAAATACAGTGTCATAACTCACTTTGGGAGGGTCAGGAATCGTGAATAGTGGTCTGATGTGTTTCCACCACACTTGCAGCTGTACTCCAGCTGTGTTTCCTGCAGGAACAGCACAACTTACCGTCAGTCATTTACACTGAACAAAACTAACATAACATCTAGTTACTGAGGGAACAGTCAAAACTATGAAAACTATGACAAAATCATGTTCTCACCTTCTGGTACATCTGGAGCATCCCCTGCACTGAACCTCTAGGGATGATGTCCAAGGAGAGATTGCAAAAATCCTCCACTGTGATGGACTGAGCACCACAACTGTGCATTAAACAAACAATATACACAAAAGATGCATGTGAAGAAAAGTTCTGTTGGACAAACAATCAATCACACAGAACAGTGGGAAATAAATAGAAGAAATGTCCAAATACATCCTTGATAAATCTTCTAAGAATCCCAGATGAATCAATGAGACGTGGGTTTTCAGATCAGTCAGTGTGAGTACATCTGTGCGCTTTTACCCTTTACATGTCCTGGTGTTCTGCATCTGGAACGTCAGGCTGCTGCTGACTGGGCAGGTGTAGTTTCCTCCCACAGAAACTGCCATTGTTTGCGTCGGTGAAGCCAGTCTTTGTATCTGACCGATGACAGCTGAGAGGAATTCGTGGGCATCCTGAACACGCACAAACACCCAGATTACACTTGATCCAAAGACGTGGAATTTTCCAAATACAAAGCAACTGACTCACTTTGCAACCTGGACCCTTAAACTCGGACGCCTGGACAGACAGGACCCTCTTGAACCTCATGAGGAGCAGAAGTTTGCGGAGAGCATCTTCTGAGTAGCGACATCTCACAATTTCCATGAAACGTCTGGAAAAAAATATGAAGATCTGTGTTTTATTTAGTTCTCAAACATTATGGATAAACTCTCATTAGTGTGTTTCTTCGGTGTTTTTATTCGACTGAGGGTTTTACCTGGCCAGCACAGCCTCTGGACACTGCCTCAACATATTCTCCTGGGAGCTGACATCACGTACAAAATCTTTGAGAGTCAGCAGGCTCTGGATGCTGGAGTTCATGTAGCACATCTGGGCTGGGTTTGGAAACCTGTGACTCAAACATAACAATTAACATTACACATTTGTGTTCAAAGCTTTGCAGGAAAACTGTTTTTTTTCTAAACCTGCTGCATCCGATTTATTTGTGATTTATTCTGAAAGAAATAATTCTATCTAAAACTTTATCAGCCTGTTTCTCTTCTGTTGTTAAGAGTGTGCAGATGTTCTCACCCAGAGCATGAGACCTGGTGAGACCCCGAGCTGTGTGCATCATCAGAACAGGAGACACAGGAAGACATAGTTACACAGAAGCACAAACGGACACAGAGTGAACATGAGCTTGTGTGAAAACCATATGATATAGGAGACAGCTATAACAGTCACCACATCTCCGTTTGATTTGCATGTCCTGTTCACTGTGTTTTCTGCCTACCTTCTCCGATGTTCATCGGATGGCTGAGTGTCATCATCACACAGTGGAGACACTCGATGTTTTCTCTGTCAGACAAAGAATATTAAGATTAACCTGCATGAACACTACATAAAACAACATTTAGATTTTTAATATAAAGTGTTAGAACTTGAGGGACATACTTTACAGCAGCAGAAAAGTCTCCAGAAACTTCGCTTTTTCTTTGTCTCCTTCTTCCTCTCCTCAGCTAGAGGTGCTCTAGTGGTAGATGCTCCATCTGAAGAGTTGACTCTGCAGACAAACACAGCTGGTTATTCTATAGCTGACTTACTTTGGACAGTAGATTCATAATACTGGTATCTTTAAAGGTTAAAGCCTTTTTTATCTCAATTGTATGGATTTTCTTACCTCTGCTGCTGCTCAGAGGGCTTGCTGTCAGTCTCTGGGGGATTCTTAGCCTTTTTCTATGGAGTAAAAAAAGAAAAACATCACTTGCAGGAAAAAGAAGCACAGTAACATGCTTTTCTATTTGCCTTGTTTTTTGCTGGACATTTACTGCAATAATGGAGCAAGATAACATACCAGAGTCCGACAGAACAGCCTGGACAGCATAGTAGTCCTCCCTCTGGTGTTTTGTTTGGAGGTCTTGGTTGCTGGAGCTTTTGAAACAGCGATTCTGACGACAAACACACAGCTTGCTATTATATATATATAGTTAAAATAAATCCTGTGATAAGAATTCTAATCATTAAAATAATTTATTTAATGAGAAAAATCAAGTTTTTCTCATCTCTTATTTCGAAGCAGGAGTATTGGATCAAAAATGGATCCGATGGTTTTTAGGATGTGTCACAAATTACGGGGAAACTATAGCAAGGAACAACTCTGGCTATAGCACTGTACTTCACAACATAAGTTTTAACAGTCCTCAGCATTTTTGAACAACTTTCTTACCTCCTATCTAAACTGGAGTGCTGTGAGCTCTGATCTTCTTCGACTTTTACAGGAGTGATACGATTTTTCTGTCCAGAAATATTGAGCCACAAAAAAAGGATGCTTTTGCAGTTATAAGCAGGCATCTCAAACAACAATATCTACAACGTTGTTGTAAATGATGTCAAAGAAATGTCACCATTTGCAGTCACCGATGTCTAAACAGTTCATAAGCAGCACTGGGAGTTCTGAACAAACCTTCAGTAATTTGAGCATGGTTGTACCTCACTCGGTCAAAGAAATATGTCATTAAGACTGATAGAATCTGTGCCGAGAACTTTCAAAGCAGGTTTGAAGAAAGCTCTGAGATGTCACGGCAACAGAGACGTAGAATGTGACTGTGGCATCATTTGAATTCCATCTTCACACTTCTGTGTGAAGATGGAATTTTCAATTTTGAAAAACAAAACAATAATGTGAAAAGAATACACATTTTACAAAAAAAAAAGCTGCTCTTTATGAAACAAGGCCTCTGACATTTAATTGTGATTACATTTAGGATGCTAGGTTGTCATTAATAGTATATTATTAAGATAATAACATTTTGATAACTTCCACAGTTATGGTTAGGAATAATAGATGTAAAGCTAATAGGCAATAATTTCTTCAAAGTATCTTATTACCTAGCAAATAAAAGTAATCATAGTACATAGAGTAATTAAAATAATACCTGTGATCTTTTTCTGTTTCACTGCTGAAATACTGAATAACTCAGACAGATAGGGGATACTATGCAAGCTTTACTGTGCTAATTTATGCTCATTACATATTTGTGATGTCTGAAAGTTTATCAGAGGGCCTGATGTGTAATCGCACCAGGTCCAATCACAGGTGGAGGTCAATAAGTTGCTGACTCAAAGGAGATTATCAGATCTCATATGAGTGTTTTTATTTAAATGACAGTTAAAAAGCAGTAATAATAAAGCAACACGAAAATATTCAAATTTGACCAAATTATTGACCATGCATTTTTCCTTAACTTGCTTTATCATGACATAACTAAAGACTGACTAAATTCACTACCTTTACGTAGCATTAAAGACACACATTATATCGATTTCCCCAACATTTTGAAATCCTAAAATATTATGTAATACAACAATGCAATGTAGAAAAGATAGATTTTTATGGTCTCCTCGTAGTAAAATTTTGCTTTCAAGTGCCTTGACATGACAAATTGTTGTGATTTGGAGCTCCATGAATAAAACCAAAATAAACTTTAATACAAATTTGAGAATTTATAATCATAATGAATAAACAATGTCAGCATTTTTTTTCTCTGCAGTTCTAGTTTAATAAGTAAATTATTTCATATTCTCCCAAAAGTCCTCTCACTATCAGAAGTTCAATTTTCATACTACTTGCAAACTAATTATGATTTTTTTGGTGCTTACTCTTAAAGACCACGCAAGATTGCAGGGATTCTATGCATCATCTTTCACCAATCCTTCAGCAGTAAACCAGATCCAGTTTGAGGTTCAGTCATACTGGACCATGGGGTGATCACTCCAGGGAGGCAGGTTGGAGAGCTTCTGCTCGGTGGCTGTTTCTATGGGCCACCCCCAGGCCTTAAAGAATCCGGTCAGGTTCATCCCCACTGACTGAGAGAACGTCTCAGCATACAGGTTCATCTTTCCTTTGTTGTCACCGGGGAAGTTGCTCATCTCGTGATAGGCAGCAAACACCTTCTTGAAGGCATCCCAGCCAAACTTTTCCTGGAGCTAAGAGGAAGAAGAGAGGGTGAGAGATGTAACATACAATTTCTATGGTGTCACAAGTTGAAAGTGTGATTTCTTATAACACTTGCATTAAAATGATCACCTCTGAAGTTCAGTGCACGAATACACGAGACAGCCGTAACAAACATACACGAGCACAGTTAACGGTAGGTGTCTTTCCACTCATGCGTAATAGCTGTCTGTTCAGGTATGTATGCAGAAGGAAGCATTGAGCATTGCATTAATATGACTTGGCCACATTCATGACTCACTGTCTTAACTACAATGTCATACAAAATGTCACTAGAAAACATAAACGTAAATGTCACCACTAGCCATTGCTTTTTCATGTTGCTGATTGGCTGTTGTGTTTATGAAAGTAAATCAAAAGACGAGACCGTGCAACATAAAAATATAAAAGGTTTGAAGTGATATAATCAGTGAGGTCCACTTTTGATCTTATGCTACATATGGAAGGGAACAAGGCCTGTGCAGCCAACTGAATGTACAGATGTGCCACACAGCCTCAGTTGCTTCTGTTAATGGCGACAAAATATCTCTTCCCAAAAAGGTGTGAGTTACTAAAGCTACAGTTACTAAAACAACTAATTTGTAAAAAAAAACTTTAAATGAAGGAAATATATGAACATGTTGTGCTTTTTTATTTGAATGTGAAACATACAGAAATGTGAGAATGAATTAACGCTTTAAAGATTGTAACTGAATGGGAGTGTCAGTACATGATGTTATCGCATCGGCTAATTATTCATTTTTCAAACTCTATCTAACCTCTTAAACACTGAATAATCTTTATTGATGGCTAACTGGAGGAAGTACTTAGCCAGTACAAGGTGCAGTGTACTTCAGCAATTTACCGTAGTAAGAAGAAATACTATGTTAGACACTGAGGATTAAATAACAATAACAGAATGCGGTCTGCGCAGAAGGGGTCATAAATATTTCTCTCACCTGCATGTAGGTCTCCAGGGCAGTCCAAACATTCCAGTCACTTAGCTTCCTGCCTTCCTTAGTGTACTTTTCGATACGCAACCTACGTTGTTCATGGGTCATTGAAGGATGAGCCTACAACAATATCAAAAATAATCTTT